GGGGGGGCGCTGGGCCAAAAAAGGTTGAGAAACACTGTTATAGACAGTGATGTAAGCGATTTCATTGCAGCTGCAGTTAGTTTGCATAGTAAACACACTGATCACTGTCCTGATCCTGTACCAGACCCAGCTCTCATTTATGACAAGTGTGTTGAAGAGGAGGAGGGCTTTGAGGGCGCACTCGATCTGTTTCCTCCTGGTTACTCCACTAAAGCACTCGAACCTCAGCTGTCTGGTAAGAAAACATTTCAGTGAACTCCTGAAGACATATTGAATGATGAGTTGTCATGACTTGATCTGCTCTTTTTACTGGAAAAGCTTGTCCATCTGGCTCTGCTTTTCAGCCATTGTATAGTAACGTTAATTCAATTAAAAATACTTTATTGATCCCAAAGAGAAATTAAATCATTCCTGTAATCCCCATTAGGGATGCACAATATATATCAGCATCAGCAGCGGTATTGACCAATGTTAGTTATTTTCTAACGTTGGTCCAATGAGTAAAACTGGGCCGATAGTAACAACCCATGTTTATTTCCGTCTTGTTTCCGGAGGAGAGGAGGTTGGTCATGTGGTATTTGTTTGGTCATATGACAGTGATGCAGCGTTGGATTATAGGGTGTTTCACAGAAACAGAGAAGCAATGAAGGCAGTGTGGTCACTTTTATAGTGTCAAAAGTGTTGTATATAATATATGATATTGGTTATAACACCAGTACTAATATTGGATATTGATATTGGCCCAAATTTTCATATCGCTGTATCCTTAATCCCCAAAAGTAACATGCTATGAAGCCACAAAAGCTAAACGTGAAGAAATATGGTGTTGCTGAGCACCAAAAAATAAATTAATTGTTTCATTTGCTTGAACAAATTACAAGGTGATCAAAAAGCAACACTGAAGCAACATCTAAACAACATCAACACTGGATGTAATTTAGTTCCAGTGAAGAATGGCAGCTAATTTAGCTACAAATGCAAAGTTAACATTGAGTTAATAACTAAGTTCCTGTATTTAAACAAAATGATTTTCTCTGGTTACTTTGTGTGCATGTCCATTCTCTGTGCTCTGAGCCAAAACTGATCCACTCCTGGCAGATATTAGCTTCATAGTTAAAGGGGGACCTTGTGGGATAGCTTGGCTAAAGTGGCTGAAGATGAAGCCAATATCTGCAATGCTACACTATATTGCCAAAAGTATTCACTCACCTGCCTTGACTCGCATATGAGTTTAAGTGACATCCCATCCTAATCCATATGGTTCAATATGACATTGGTCCACCCTTTGCAGCTAGAACAGCTTCAGTTCTTCTGGGAAGGCTGTAAACAAAGTTTAGGAGATTTTATGGCGATTTCTGACCATTCTTCCAGAAGTGCATTTGTGAGGTCATGTACTGATGTTGGAGAAGAAGGCCTGGCTCTCAGTTTCTGCTCTAATTCATCCCAAAGGTGTTCTATTTGGTTGAGGTCAGGAATCTGTGCAGGCCAGTCAAGTTCATCCACACCAGACTTTATGGATCTCGGTTTGTGCTCTGGTGCACAGTCATGGTGGAAGAGGAAAGGGTCAGATCCAAACTGTTCCCACAAAGTTGGGAGCGTGGAATTGTCCAAAATGTCTTGGTATGCTGAAGCATTCAGAGTTCCTTTCACTGGAACTAAGGGGCTAAGCATCTGGCAATGCAATGTAAAGTTTGCATTGTGCCAAATTTTACACTTGGCACAATGCAGATTGCCAGATGGAGAAGCGCAATTTGTCACTCCAGAGAACACGCCTCCACCACTCTAAAGTCCAGTGGCAGCAGCTTTCCACCACTGCATCCAACGCTTTGCATTTCACTTGGTGATGTATGGTTTGGATGCAGCTGCTCCACCATGGAAACCCATTCCATGAAGCTCTCTGTGCACTGCTCCTGAGCTAATCTGAAGGCCACATGAAGTTTGGAGGTCAGTAGTGACCGACTCTGCAGTTGTTGACCTCTTTGCACTATGCTGACCCCGCTCTGTTAGTTTATGTGGCCTACCGCTTCATGGCTGAGTGGCTGTCATTACCAAACATTTCTGTTTTCTTAGAAAACCCAGCTGACAGTTGAAACTGGAATATTTAGGAGCGAGGAAATTCCACGACTGGATTTGTTGCACAGGTAGCATCCTATCACATTTCCACACTGGAATTCACTGAGCCCCTGAGAGCCAACCATTGTTTCACAAATGTTTATAAAAACAGTCTGCATGCCTAGGTGTTTCATTTTATACACCTGTGGCCATGAAAGGGATTATAACTAGGCCTGTCTTGATAAACAATAAATCAATTAATTGCATGATAAATGAAAATGATCAACCTCATTTTAATTTATCGGCTTTATAGTCTCTTCCTGCCATTTTCTCTTTCTGTTAATGACACTGGATAAAAAAAGGCTCAACTCCGGTGCTCTGCACTGACCCCTCCCTTCCTCATTTCCTTAGCACCCATCTTCTCTATCTAAATCTAATGATTATTGAAGGGTAATATAGTATACAGACTTCATAGTCTGTTCTCTTTTGGTTGAATGTTGTTTTTATTTCCACTTTGGTTTTATATTTTTAGTTTTTATTCAAGTGCATTTTTTTTGTTAAGAGACTGAGAGTCCATTTTATTGTTGCTTATGGTTCTTTTGTTTATTTTGTTTACCAGTTCCAGTGTTAAGTGTTCTTGCATTATTACGTCATAACCATTACATCAGTTTAAAATGTATTCAAACAATATTATTGTTTATCGCAATAATTTCTGAGACAATCACTCAGCAAAATTTATCGTGAAAGGCCTAATTAGAACACCTGATTCCGATAATTTGGATGGGTGAACAAATACTTTTGGTAATATAGTGTATATTCCTAAAGAAAAATTAAATGAAAGAACCTCCTCCTTCCACTCGTTTGAGAGGTCAACTTGTCAGACTGCATTAACCCCTTAACTGAGGACACAGGCGTCCTTATGGACCCATCGCCCTTCGTGTAAACATTTTGGGGTGGCATACTGATTCTTTTAGAGTTCTTACATCACTTCTCATCTCCAACAACAGTAATAGTCTTAAAAAGCTTTTAGTGATCTCTGACTGAAAACATAAACACAGTTTTGGAAATTTCTCAGTCTTTTGCACCATGTATGGCTTGACCTTGCTTTACTCACCATGTCTTCTGTTCCAGGTAAAATGGTGACTCTCGACTACATTTTGGCTGTGACAAGATCCACAACTGGTGACAAAGTGGTGCTGGTCTCCAACTATACTCAAACACTGGACCTCTTTGAAAAGTTGTGCAGATTTAGAAGGTGACTAAAAGACCAAATGTTTGGCAGCTGGATCTGATTAAATGGGTTTCAGTGTTGCTTTGTGGCTTTTTCAGGTACCTCTATGTTAGACTGGATGGCACAATGTCTATCAAGAAAAGGGCTAAGATCGTGGAAAAATTCAACAGTCCACAAGTGAGCTTGAAAGACAGTTTTGGATAACAGTTAAAGCTGTGAAGCAACCATGAACACTATGTTCTTTGTGTTTGACAGAACCCTGAATTTATTTTCATGCTGAGCAGCAAGGCGGGTGGATGTGGCCTCAATCTGATTGGTGCCAATCGCTTGGTAATGTTTGATCCAGACTGGAATCCAGCCAATGATGAGCAGGCAATGGCTCGTGTGTGGAGAGATGGCCAGAAGAAGACCTGTTACATCTACAGACTGATCTCTGTCAGACATGCACTCTAACTATATTAACACTAACTCTTACTATGACATTTTTATTTAATTGCTCTATTTTTTCTCTTGTAATCTAACTCTCCAGAGTGACAAGTTAATGAGCTGTCATAAACGTGGCAAAACGTAGATGTTGTGGAGATGTTTGATATGTGTGTGTTTTCTGACAGACTGGAACCATTGAGGAGAAGATCCTGCAGAGACAAGCCCATAAAAAAGCCCTGAGCAGCTGTGTGGTGGATGAGGAGCAGGATGTGGAGCGTCACTTTTCTCTAGGCCAACTTAGAGAACTCTTCACACTCAATGAAGAAACAGCCAGTGACACACATGACAAGTAAGGAGAAATCATGTTGAATAGTTTATCTGTTGGTTGTCACCAAATGCTGCCAAATTACCAGTTAGGAGAAGAGAAACGTTTCCCCAGCCAACATGGTGTATTTCAGTTGAAGCTTTATGTTTATGGTCTCGTTCGGACATGTCTTGAACCACATGTTTGGAAGCTGATCACGTGTAAAACAGAGGTGATAAGTTGTAAAGAAAACAAGTTTCTTCCAGGCAGATGCTTCAGAAAGCAGCCCTCTAGAGAAGTGGTGCTCAGGTCCAGTTCTTGAGAGCTACCATACTGCTCCAACACACCTGAATCAAATGGCTGAATTCCCTCATCGGGGTCAGTCACCTCTGCAGGGGCAGGTAATAAGCAGTTCATTTGATTCAGATGTGCTGGGCATCTTTGGATAGACCTGGGCAACCTTGGTTTCGAGAGCTGCTTTCTTCTTTTTCACAAGTTAAATGGGGGACACAAAGTCTTTCCTAGCACACGTTTTACCAGCACCATATGACAGGATGTGATGTGTGTGTGACCTCTGTAAACAAGGCATCCTGTGATGGTCCACCAGCCGTCATTTTGACAGACATGGTTAAAAAATGTTTAGTTTTTAAAATAATTATTTAACATTCAATAGATTTTTTTTAATTAATTTTAATTAATAGTTCATGAAATGCTGACTATAGGATCTACATCAACCAGCTGAACATGTAGCTTTTTTTTCTGCAGTAACAAAACTGTGGTCCCAATAATGATGCATAAGGAATTGCATTAAATGAAGCACCTAAAATATGAACAGTTGACCTTCTGTCTCACACCTTCTCTCTGGTCCGCATGGACCTAAACTGGTCCCCCTGCTTGGTCATAGTCAAATGTCTCAAAGGGGTTGCTGCTGTGGCTATTGTCCTGAGATTTTGCAGTTTTTCTCTGGACAGACAACTTCTCATGTCTGTCTTGTTATTCTGAAGACTAAATATGCGCTCTTCTGTGACACTGGAGACTGGAATAACTGCCACTTCAGCCAAAGTTTTAAGGTCAAGAAACATTTCTCCAGCTGAATTGAAGTCAGCAAGACTTTCTGAATGAGGGGTTTTCAAATCCCACAAGCAGTCGCTTTAGAGGGAGGAAATCCCGATTACCAGTGGTTCAAGTTGCACCGGTTTGTGACCCGTAGTGGTCACAGACGCGTCTCAAAGCCTCCTGTCCTTATTTCTTCAACTCGCTCTCAGCTCCTGGAATAATGAGATGCATTCAGCACGGGGTCTAGATCTGAGTTGGGAATCTTTTTTTGATTGAATTAGACATCTCTTTGATGTATTCCGTGCGTAAAGCTGCAAATGTCTGCACGTCTCCATGAGTAAGTGTGATGCCACAGAACTTACCATCTTGTGAAGCCTTGCTGGATTTTTTTCTCCACCTCACCTGGTTCATTCATTAAGTCTTCCAGACTGGCCACAGTCATGCTCACAACAGGTGAGATGGAGGAGATGTTCACGTCTTCTGTTTGGAAGATGAGGTTCATGCGGTTCACCACAGCTAAAACGTCAGTCAGCAAGTGAGTTAGAGCAGGGAAACATGTATGTTTGAAGACGCTTTCTGATTCCCTTAGCTACCGGGCAGATTTTCCCATCTTCCTCCTCTTCCAACTCTGACATCAGAGCTGTATACACGTATGCCTTTCACTGCCCTCTCCAGCAACAGCCAGCATGTAGCCGATGGTTGTTTTAGGCTCAGCAGGTCATGTTCCCCCATTTCTTTTTGAAGTTCATTTGATCTGCGCGCTTGTATTGGAGAATTCTTGAAGTATGTATACAGGGTTTCCCCCAGAAAACTTGCTAAGCCCGGTGGTCGGGGCGTTGAGTCGGTCCACCGTGTTTTTGTATTAAAA